GCGCGCCGCCATCCGCGGCGGTCGCCCGCGGAGCCGCGCGAACTCCAGGCAGCGCGAGACTTACCGCCAGCGAAGCCGCGCGAACGTTCGACCGCGCGGGACTTCGAGATCGGAAAGTCCCACGTAGCCAACATGGAGCTTTCAATTTTTGATACTTTTTTGATACTTTTTTGATACTTTTTTGATACTTTTTTCCCCAAAACAACATGTGACTTTCAATTTTTGATATTTTTTTGATACTTTTGGTGTGTTTGGCGAAATTCGGCGAAAGTTCCGCGTCGACCCGCCGCATCTTCACTTGTCACTCTGACAGTCTCGGCGCACCCCACCACCCGCGTCACTCGGTGCGTTGCGCGGCGCCCCGCGCGGGGCGCGCCTGCGCGCTGTGCCTCTGCCACCCCCAAGGGCATCACGCGCGGTAGGATGCGCAGCTCTCGCAACCGCACCCCCCCCCCCCCCTTCCACCCCCCTCGCCGCCGCCGTCGGCAATCCCCCCCCCATCCAGTCGCCGCCAGCGGCAATCTACCCCCCCCCCCCCCCCCTTCCCAACCCCCACACCTTCCTCGCCAACGGCAATCTATGGGGGCCCCCCCCCCCCCCCCCTTCGCAAGCGGCGTTGGACCACCGACTCGGGCTTGCGACTTGGGCGGCGCGCTGCCCCGTGGCCGACCCAGGCTGGCCAACCAAATCGACGGGTCCAGCCGCCGTTGCCGCACATGGCTTGCGGAGTGCAGCGCGCAGCGCTCTCGGCGAGGCAACGCGCGCTCAAATTTTCGCGGCCCACAGGGCGCGCGCGACGCCCGACCATTTTTTCGCGCCAGTGGGGAAAACAATGGGGCTGCCGCGCTTGAGTGTGGCACTGCGATCTGGCCCTGGGGGTCGCTTCGGCGTCGCCGCTGCGTCGCTTGCTATCGGCGCGCGTTTGCAGGTCGGGCGCAATCCGCCCAGCCGACGCGCCCGCCCGCGCGCGCCCGCTCGTCGCCGCCAACGGCCGCGCGGAGATCCATCGCGCGCGCGCGGCCGCCCCGTTCGTCCTCCGCGGCGCCGAGGACGGCCAGCGGTCGACCATCTCGCCGCTGGCGGCCGCCCGCCATCCAGGCCCCAGCGGGCAGGAATCGCAATCGCGATGCCGACTGGGCGATGCCGCCCTCGACGTCGGCGCAGCCGCAAACGCCAGGTCGCTCGCGCAGTCGCCGCCGCCCCCTCGAGGCGGGCCGCGGCCGCGGGGCGCGCCGCCGCGCGCTGGCGCGCAGGGCCGCGCCGCGCGGCGCGCCGCTGCGCGAGGGGGCGCCGCTGCCGCGTCTTCAGGGGCCGCCGTGGCCGCGTCGCTGCGACGGCGGGTCGGGGGGCGCATGAGTCGATCGGTTGCGCGTTTGGGGCCCAGCCGACGAGGCGCCGAATGATCTGGAGTGGCAACCAGCAGAAGAGGGGGCCCTGGCTCGGAACGGGTCGTCGACGAAGGCATGCACGCACATTGCAACTTTCGTTTAACTCAAGGCAAGATTTGGTGAGGCCCAGGGCCTGTTTCGAGTCAGGCCGAAAGCTTGCGCCGGCGCTGGCAAATTGGCTGCGCCCAGAACGCAGCGTCGGCGCGCCGCTGGCCGAATCCGACGCTTGCCAACGTCATTCGCGCAGTGGACTGGCATCGAAGCCGCATATGGAGAAGAGCGGGGCCAAATTCAAGCATCCGACGAAAGCATGCAACCACGCAGGTGTTCTTCTTGCAGTCGCAACAGACAAGGGCGCAGCTCGAATCCTGCTTGGGCACTGGCCGAGTATCTGCACCAGCGCAGGCGCATTGGCTGAAACCAGGGCAGGAACTGGGAGGAGCCCAGGGCCTACGTTCACGCCCGCCGAAAACCAAACAGATGCATCGCGCGCGCTGGCTGCGATGGGGGACAGATGAGGAGAAGGGCTGAGCTTCTTCAAACAACCGAGGGAGGCGCGAGCATGCATGGTCACGCGTCTGGAAAACATCGCAACCTGCGGAGAAGTTTAGAACTCAATTCGGCGCCCGCAGAAAAAACTTTCAACTAGACAAACGCACATGGCAAATTCAGAGCAACGTATAGCGGAGCTCTGTGCCCACTCCGACGAGCGCCGAGCACTTGCAGCTACGCGAGCACATTTGCCGAAACATCAACAAAACCACGAGGAGCTCAAGGAGGCGGCTCGCTGCGAGCCGAACGCAGACCAGCATTCCAACGCGTTGGCTGTGCTGGGGGCCGACGAAGGAGGAGGCCAGAGCTCGGTTAAAATAAACGATGAATGCGTGCGCACACATTGCTGCTCGACTTATACTCGACACCGACATTCCGCGGGGCTCACGCACCTAATTCGGCGCACCACCCCCCGCCGATCGCATGACGCAGGTGCGCGCGCATTCGCTTGCGCCATGGCGCAATATGGTGGAACCCCGTTGTTAATTCGACGCCCACCGACAAATTGCGCATGCCAGCGCACATAGACCGAAAACACAACAAAAAATGGGTGACAGCGGTGACAAATCCAGACAATTGACGAAGGCGTGCATGTACATGGCCACTCTGCTTACAGCCAAAGCGAAAACAAAAGCGCGTGGGTTCATGCCCCGCGTATAAAAAAAAGGTCTAAGTTTGTCTCATGCCGTTACCATGCAGTCAGTTACTAAGGGTGTATCATCTACCAATGACCATAACGTAATTTGTTTAAAAGAAAAGGCCAGGATACATGCGAAAAGCTTACTTCGCGAAGCATTTTTGTGTGTGTGTGTGTTTGGGCATGCGATCCGTAATCGTCGCTGTAATCAACCTATCACGTGCTATAACATACGACGTGCGCTATCCGCTGCGCCCTACGCCATCATCCCACATTTCGTAGATTGCCCACATCGATTCCGAAGCGTTCCCTGCACGGCCCCATCGCATCCATACGCATCGTACAAGGTTCCATGGCGCCCCTGCACAGTTCCCACACAGGGCCCGAATAGTTAATATACAGCATATCGCTGCTGGTTACATGTAGAAAGATGGGGTCGCGTTGTTTGGGGCCCGAGCTGGTGCACTAATCCTTCCTCGCCTGCTTCCGCGAGGTCCGAGCGGGCCGTGAGAAGCAGGGCGCGCCCGTGCGTGTCCGCATGGTCTATCGTTCAGGTGTGCGCAGTCTTACGTGCAGTATAAAACAGAAGCCCTGGCAATGCATAGCTTGCGCGGGGCAAAGTTCTGGAATGCGAGCGCGGGCCCTTGTGTTTCTGGATTCAAACCCACGAGGTTCCAGTGGCCAGCGTCCCAGCGCCCAGAAAATATGAATCGAGTTTTCCACTTGTTTCAAGCGTTAATGTGTCTTCTCGCGATGTCCTCATGTGGTCGCCGTTTCCTGCTGCAAGGGTCCTCGAGGTTTTCTGCGCCCTCGCGAGATCCACGGTGATGGCGAAGCGCGGCCATGATAGGCATGGTCGCGGGCGCGGCGCTGGCGGGTGCCAGAAGAAGCCAAAGCACGTTCATGCTCAGGAGGCCGATCAGACGCAAGAGAGCATAGCTGCTGCCGCCTCGGCGTCGGGCCCCTCGATGTCGAAGGCGTTGCCGCCGAGCAGAAAAGGCAGAGGCGCAACCTTGCACTGCTGCGCTATTTGCGATGGCAACAGCAAGGATTGCGTCTCGAATAATATTGCAGCCCATGTGTCTTCTGTTGTCCCACGGCCCCTGGTCCGCATTTTTTCCGACAGGAAATGCAGGCGTTCCGGAACGATTGGGGGCCGTCGGGCGCCCATCGTTGTGTTTGTGCGCTGGTTTATCACTGCCGAGGACAAGACCATGTACGACCCCGAGACGTCCGACCCCCTCACGTGCATGGAGGGCTGCACGGCCGTCGTATGCGAGGAGTGCGCTGCGTTCGTCGAGAAGCACATGCCAGGCTTGGGGCGCTCGCCCAACGCTCGGCGCATGATTCCAGACCCCCGCCCGTGCAAGAGGCCCCTCGCATCATTATTAATTTAGCATGGTGGTCAATTGGGGAGATGAGGGATGGCGGAGGGGGGCGGGCTGGGCAGGACTTCGAAAGTAAGGCGGAGGAGGAATGGCAAACAAGGTCACTCGGATCAGGGCGGAAGCCCAACGAATGAGACGGGGAGGGGGAGGATGGCAGTGGGAGGGGTCAGACCGCGAGGAGGCAGGATGGGGGCGAAGCGTCGACCCCTAAATTATTGCACTTGCGAGGCCTCGTATAACGGGGGGGGCCTCGAATGTGAAGCGCGTGGGGGTTGGGGCGATCGGCAGGCTACACAGTGGAGCTCGTGGTGGCCGATCGGGCCGAGAGCGCGGCTCTCGCGACGAGCATGGACGAGGGCCTGCTCATGGACCAGGGCAAACCAGTTCTGGAGGTCAAGGCCACCGCGGAGGCGGCCTGCATGGCCATCATCGACGAGAGCTACATCGTGCTCACCCCCTGGCAAATCATGCAGCGCTACAAGAAGACTGCGAAGACGCTGCGCCTGAAGGGGATCAAGCTGCCCAACTACCAGAGGAAGGGTGATTTCACGGTCTTCTACCCCTTCAAGAACCCAGACCAGCCGTACAAGATTCATCGGTTGCAGTCCTTGGTTTCTGCCGTGGCCTCGCGCGCCCACAAGGGGAACGTGCCGCCAGTCTTCGAGCAGCAACTTCCCTCAGTGCTGAAGGGCATGCACCGTGCGGTGCTTACTGGTACACAGACGTCAGCCTTGGTGCGACTGCCAACCCTGGAGGATTTGGATCGCCGCCTGGCGAGGCAAGATGGCCTGAAGACAGGAGACGGAGATGATGATGATGATGATGCAGTTCCAGGGGGCTTCGACGATGACGGTGGCGACTTCGCCGACGACGCCGAAGGTGAAGAATCCGAGGAGGAGGGGCGGGACCATGGCGACGAGCCAGGGGACCCTGATGACCAGATGCTGAGCTCCACTCGCAAGAAGCCAGCTGCGCGGCGCGTCGACGACGACGGCGAGCCCGAGAACGTGGTCCCCCGTCGCTCCCCTACGCCAGGATCGAAGATGCCCAGGACCCCTTCATCGACAGAGTTCAAGAGGTCAGGTTCGTCTGGGCTCGGGTTGAAGCTGCCCCCCAGTATCGAGGATACGCACATCGACATGAGCATCGAGAAGGGCACGCCTGAGTATTGGATCATACGGATGCCCCTTCGACAAGTGGCCGCGGGCTCCAAGCTCGGCAGCCAGTACAACCAAGCGAGGCTACTGTACAACAAACTTCCACCAGGAGATGATCGGAATCGACTGGGTGCGCATATGGGGCTCTACGATAAGGCAATGCAATTTGTCCCAGGCGCCATGGAGAAGCTCAGCGACTCCGAGTTCGAGTTGTACTGCCAGGAGTTCGATAAGGCAGGCGTGATCTTCCTACCAGTGACCCACATGGAGATCTTTCGCAGGTCGGCCAAACCATTGTGGGAAGCATTCGAGAAGGACCCGACGTCACCTCATAGCCACCACCAGCTCCAGAAGGTTCTCCGCATGACGCAGATCTGGACTGTCGAGAGTGAGCAGGCCAGCCCCTTCTCGTGGAAGAAGCCAGCTCTCGCAGATATCAGCTTCAACGTGGCCTCCGACATGGGTGATGCGTTCCTCAGCATGGTCTTCGGCGAGCGCATCGTCGCTTGGATTGGGGCGGGGGAGAGCAAGGAGGTGCTGATCAGCGAGTTCGCGCTGGTCGCAGCAAAGGCTTGGGATTTGCCAGACGATGCAGTCATTGAGAATACGTCTGCTCAGCTGTTGGTAGATGCGACTCGCGTCATCAGAGTCTTGAGGTACATCAGCGACCAGAACATCACCCACGAGACTGACGTAGCTGTCTTCGATGACGTGGCGGCCTTGGAGGAGGCAGCCTACAAGACGACAAAGAAGAAGAACCTCATGATCATGGTGGGGGCTGCCGTGCACGAGAATACCATGTGGAAGGCGCGTTTGCAGATTGCCGCGAGGAGGAACGATCAAATGAAGATGCACGCCCCGAAAATCACGAAGCTGTTGACGGACCTTCGCGCGCATGAGGTGCCCACCCCGACGAAGGAGCTGCATGACCTGATCAAATCGTCTCTCGATGACCTGCCCTACTTGCGCACCGCTTTGGTGGAGGGCGCCGCTGACGAGCTTGAGAGCGTGACGGTGGACACGTTGCACAAGGCACTTGGGAAGTGGACTGACACGGGCCCTGAGGCCGCTGCGGTTGCGCCGAGCACCACGGAGGATAATGAGTTGTTGGTCTCTTTCAGGAGGTTGGCAGTCGCTGGATCTGAGCAGCGCCCAGCCTACGAGAACTTGAAGCGAGACATTGACAGCCTGAACCGGATCATCGGCAACGTCGCTGCCGTTGCCAAGATAGGCAACATCAAGGTGTTCATCGCCCGTGCCAACGCCGACGAAAAGATCAGCATCAAAGACTTCAAGGAGCTGGCGGGCGGTGTGAATGCAGATTTGTTGACTCCAGCTGACCACGCCCACATGCTGGCCACGTTCGCTGCCCACATCTCCCAACTTGTGAAGAATGACTTCCAGCCTGCGTCGAATCGCGAGCCTCCCGATGCGAACTTGGACTTTGAGGAGGTGGTGTCCACGTTCGTCGCCAAGGACGTCAAGAAGGATGTGGCCACGTTCCTTGCATCCGCGAGGGCAGTGCTCAAGTTGCAGCGCTCGTACCTTGCCCTGAATGCGAAGGTGGTCGACAACAACGACGAGCTTGCTGCAGATGGCCCTGAGAGGCAGGCCGCGCACGTGAAGAAGGAGCTGGCCAAGACCATCAAACAGTTGAAAGCACCGCTCTCCGACGTGATCCAGCCAGGCTTGGCATTGCACTTTTCCGACACGGCCCATGAGGTGTTGGCAAATGCTAAGGGCCGCTACATGGACGTGGCCTTGTCGTGCCTGGAGAAGCGTGCGTCAATTTTGAAGGAGAGCATTGATGTCGCGAAGAAGCACAGCACGGAGAATGCTCAGCTGGGCCATTGGATTACCAGGTCAACGTCCGAGTGGCACGAGATCAAGGACCTGGCGAAGGAGCACATCGAGACCTTCGACGGGGACATCATCATCGAGAAGGTGATTCAGGTCGAGCAGGCTGGCAATTCCGAAATGTTTTCTTCTCCTTCATCCTCTACCCTCCTCCTCCTCCTCCTCCTTCACACCTCCGCTCTCGTCCTTCTTCTGCTACCCGAGAAGGGCTTCCCTATGGGGTTGCCCATCTAGCCCAGCACTTGGAGAATATATCAACTGGCCCCAGGCCCGTCCGCGAATCTGACCGTGCACGGGCAGGGTCGTCCCATGGCTGATGCCATGGCATATGGGTGCTTCCATATCTCCTGACAGGGTAGTCCGTGGGGGAAGTGTAATAGTCGCAGCGGTAGTAGCAGTAGTAATAGTAGTAGCAGTAGTAGTAGTAGTAGTAGTAGTAGTAGTGGTAGTCGTAGTAGTAGCAGTAGTTGTTGTTGTAGTAGTAGGAGTAGCAGCAGGGTTGTACTAATGGTGGTAGTAGTAGACATAGTAGTATGCATCGTAGTAGCAGTAGTAGTGGCAATATTGCTCGCAGTAGTGGTGATCCGCGTTGCAGTGCTTCCAGTAAAGATGCAGCTGCGCCTGCTTCCTTATCGTCTAGAGTTCTAGGGGGCTGTCGCTCATATATAGTCCCCCTCACCCCCCAGTCAGCCAATTATCCCTCGTGCCCCCCCCCCTCCCCATACACCCCCCCCGCGCTTCCAGCAGGCGGACGTATCGATGCAGGAGTACGCCGACGAGATGGGCCTCAAGTGCGACTCCGAGCTGAGGCAGAGCGCGAAGTCCGCCATGACGAGTGCGGCCAGCCTCGCCTGCGAGATACAGCTCATGCAGGCGTTCATCAACATCAAGGGCAAGGACAAGGTGTGGCTGCGGGGCCAGTGCGTGCTGGTGCAGAAGGAGCTCGCCAAGTGGAAGGTCGTGCCCGCCATGATGGACGCGACGATCATCGAGAAGTACCGCTCGGCCCTGAAGTTGCAGGCTGTTTGAGTCGCCTCGTGGAGAGGCGCGAGGCGGCGACTGCCCGCCCTCCCTAGGTGCGCGCCGCCTGGAGATGGCGCGACACAGTTTGGAGAGAAACGGTTGGGAAAACACAATGAGCCCATGTGTCATCGCACAGCTCTGAGTCTAAGATGGCGAGCAGGTCGGCGGAAAGGGTCAGTGGAAATTTCGGCGGATGCATTCAGGTGGTCAATCCGCCGTCCGCCCCTCACGTTTGTGTATGTAGAGGGCTTCGTTTCTATGGCGCGTGCATGTGCGCTCGCACATGGGCGCGAGGTCTAATCGCCCGGAGGCAGTGCGAGTCAGGGGGGGGGAAAGAGGAAGAGAGCGAGGAGGGGGGGGCTAGTTCGTGGCAAATACTAGATGGGAGAGCGGAGGAGGCGAAATCTTGGAGGTGGGCGGGAGGGGAGGAGGAAACGAAAAACGGAGGGGAAGGGTGAAGGAGCCAGAGCCTCCAGGATCCAGCATTAGGGAGCAAGCAATCTCCAGGATCTAGAGCCTCCAGGTTCAAGCATCCAGGATCAAGCATTGAGGATCCACAGCATCCAGGATCAAGAGGGCCCCCCCTGCCCCTCAGGACCCAGAGCCTCCAGGATCTCAGGCCTGAAAGGATCCAGGATTTCAGGCCTCATGGATCCAGATACTCCAGGATCGAGCCTCCCTGGCCTCCCCCTCCAGAGCCTCCAGGATCAAGCAGCAAGGATCCAGCCCTTCGCTCTCTGAGATTTTCTGGCCCCACTCCCTTTTTCAGATCACCCAGCGTGGTCCCATGGCCGCCGCTGCAGAAGAAGCTGCGCCTGTTCTTCCCGAGGCGGAGGCCGGAGGCGTTGTCGGGGGCCACAACGACAGGGTCGACCCGCCGTCCAAGCGCGCGCTCAAGGCCTTCGACCTGAAGATGGCCGTCTCCGACGCGACGAAGGACATGCACGGATTTCCAGAGCCGAAGGTTCTGGACGATTGAAAGATCACCCTCGGCTCCGAGGTACTCCAGTCGACTGGAAGGCGCCCCCGCCGATTCGCGGGGCGCCTTCCAGTCGACTGGAGCGCCTGGGGTCTACGGGCATCCATTCAATGTCCCAGGTTTCGTTCGGCGACGTATCGAGGGTGCTGGCGGCGCTCAATTTTGTCTGCATCGCCCAGCTCCAGAGGAGGAAGGTGGTGCAGATCCCAGGGCTCGTCACGATCAAGGCGAAGAAGCACGACCCGACGCCGTCCAAGATCGTCGTGGACATTGTTTTTTTTTTGTTGTTGTTGGTGTTGTTGTTTCGGGTTTGCACTCGCACCTCACGTTTCATCTCTCACCGCTCACTCCTCACCTCGCAATTCGCACCTCTCACCTTCGCACTTCTCGCCGCTCGCCTCGCACCCCTTACCTCGCGAGTCTCGCCCGTCGCTTCTCGCCCTCGTCTTAACTTCTGATGTTCCCAACCTCGACGTTCGCCCCTCCCTTGTCTCGCCCGTCACTTCAGACCATTCACCTCCTCGCCTCCTGCCTCTTCCTGACCTCGCCTATCACGTCCAACCCATCGCCTCCCGCCCCCCCTTCACCTCGTCAGGAGGGAGGGGGAGGTGCAAGCTAGGTGCGCCCGCCCCAAATCTGACATCCACCCTCCCTCCCATCTCTTCCCATTGCGCGTATTCGTTTCCACTAGGGCCCTCCCTCCCATCCCTTCCCATTGCGCTGGCGGGTAGAGTTTACCTGCCAGCTGAAAGAAATCCCAGATTCGGGGCAGGCGGCTCCGCGTCGCAGCCCGCGACAAACACCTCGTGACGGTCGCGAAGCCCCACAAGGATATCAAGCGCCTCGTCGACGACGACGAGCCCAACCAGCCGATTGCTGCGCAGGACGGCGTCGACGACGAGGCGCTGAACTCAGACGAGCTGGACTCGAGTGAGGAGTAGGCATGCACCCATGGCCGAGTGCCGTCGGCGTCGGACCCACTGAGGACGGGGAGAATGAGGATAAGGAGGACGAGAATGAGGAGGGAAGGATGAGGAAGAGGACGACGCCGAGGCGCAGTCTCAGTCGTTTTTTTTTCCAGTTGGCGGCCGCCGCCGCCGCCGCCGCCAGTTGGCGGCCGCCGCCGCCAGATCGCGCCTGCCCCTGCGGGATAAGGAGGGGGAAAACGACGAGGAAGGCAGAGGAGGACGGAGGAGGACATAGGGAGGAGTAAAACAGAGGAGGACGGAGGAGGTTGGAGGAGTCCCGCTGGCGAGCGGAATCCAGCTCGTCTGCAGCGTCGCCGCCGCGTCGGCACGAGGAGGCGCGAGGGCGCCAGGACATGAAGCATCGGCCTGGACGTCCGTATCCCTCCGTCCTGTTAAAGGTCCTCCACCCCCGTCCTCGTCGTCGTCACCGTCGCCCTCCGCCCCTTCTCCCCCCTCCTCATGTGGGCCCATTTGGGGCCCTCCTGGTGCACGGACGTAGTTCAGGAACTGATGACCTCCCGCAGGATCCCCCTGCATATTCTTGAAGCGTGCGATTTTGAATAGTTTTCTGAGCGATTTTTGAGGCTTTTGATTTTGAGGCACGTTTCACTTTTTGGAGCGATTCCATGGTTTTCAGGATCCACACAGCCTAGCGGGCTCGGCCGATTATGGCCCTAGACGGCCCAAGAGAGTTCCAAGAGAGGCCCAAGAAGGGGACAAGTCTTTCTCCCCAGGATGGCCCCAAGAGCCCCCCAGAGGCCCCTCTAGCCGTTCCACGAAGCTCCAAGAACCCTGCAAGAGGCCTCCAGGAGGCCCCCAAGAAGCACTCCCCCCAGGTGCCTCGACAACCCTTGTAAGAGACGGCTGAAAAGGCATCCTAAGAGACTCCAACGTGCCTCCAAGATGTTCTCGCGCTGCCTATGGTTTCTTGTGGGGGATCGGCTGAATGGCGTAAGCCTCTTGAATCCGCCCGCCCACCGGGCTGAGGTGTGTGTGATATTTAACCGTGAGGACTTTTTACAAGGCTTCGGCCCCCACTTCATTTTTCTGCCCCCAAAGGCCTCCGCAATTCCGCCGCCCGGCTGCCTCATCGGCCTTTGTCGAGCCTCCAGACGGCTTCAAGACGGCTTTCCAAACTAGCTCGATTGACAGATCCTTCTGGCGACGCTTTCGGGGCACAGTTCGGCTCCATTTCGGCCCCTTCGGAGCCCCTCTCTGGGCCTCCGCAGCCAGCTCTTGGGGCTCTCCAAAGCGCCTTTGGGGCCCAACTGCGCGTACAAGCTGGGATCTGGAAACATACAGCAACACCCAACCCTTTTTTGCATGACTTCTACCTCGCCGGGGATCGCCCCTCATAGCCGACAGTCGGGCTCGCCTGGGCCATCTCCAAATCAGACTCGTCGCCGACGGTGGGCGTTTTCAACATCAAGTTTGACCGACGCCGGGCCCGTCGGAAGCGCCCAAAACGAGGCCCCAACCGGCCCAGCTCTGGGCCAGGCTTCGGTGGACATGCGAACGCGGCTCGGGCCTACCATGGGGATGCTCGCGCCTGAACCGCCCAGACGTCCGCCTGCGCAGCCTCGGGCCCTTCTTGGGCCAATGTTGGGCCCTTGTCAAGGCTCTCTTCGACCCTGAAGGGCGCCTCCTGGACCTGTGGGAGGTCTTTCACCAATTTCGGAAACTGCCATCCCGTCTTGGCGCCGTCTGCGTCGCTTCTGGTGAGAACTGGAATGAGCGGGCGGTGAAAGCGAAGGGTCCAGAAACTGTGGTGCCCATTGCTCCACGTTATGCTAAATCCCACTTTGGAGTAACGCACAGTCATCGCAGTAATAATCTTCGATGTTCGAAACCATGGTAGGGATCTGCTGGCAATCGTGGCCACGAATCCGACCGCAGACCAGAACATTCCTCTAATTACCGTGCCGCTGGTCACGGAGTGGGCATGTCCTCAGGTCCTGGGCCCAATCCTCTCAGCCTCCATCCTCGCTCCTGAAGAGTCACTAAGGTTAGGTCGGGCATGTCCTCCTACAGGCGGATTTTGGACGAACGGAAAATCTGAGCCTTCCGCCCCAAGAGGCCCCCAGGAGGCCCCAAGAGGCGCCCAGGAGGCCCCAAGAGGCCCCCCAAGAGACCCCAAGAGGCCCAAAATGCCCCAAGAGGCACATAAACGGCCTCCAAGAGGCCCACAAACGGCCTCCAAGAGGCCTCCAGACTGCCTCCCGAGAGGCCTCCCACGAGATCCCAACGAACATCCAATAATTAGGCGTCATACCCACAACCCAGGCACGGTGGCGGGATGGGCCGAAGGCGTTATAGAGAACATCCACGCCCCCTTTTTGCGCATCTGGAATCAACTCAAAGTGCATCCCAAGAAGAAAGCATCACTGCGTCATCCTCGGTTCTACGAAGGCAGCGACTAGCGGCAACTATCCTTGTGGCAGCGTCTTCACCGTCATCGTGCACATCATCTATTACTAATGGGCTATGAAGGGGGTGGGCCATGGCGTCGAGGGGAACGCGGTTGAACGCAAGGTACTCGGAGTTGTCCATCCAGTAGGCTTCTTCTTCGCGCATCTCGTCCTCCTCCATCATCTCTTGCTCAATAATGGTCACCGCGAGCGTTGTCTCCTCCATTGCCTCCAGGTCCGCTTCCGTAGGCGAGGGCATGCCATGACAACTCGAAGGTGCCGCCGTTTACTGATACTCAGGGTCGCCAGGTCCTCGCGCTTCGTCTCACGCTCGCCTTGGTCGTCACCAACACCAGCCACGACTTCGGTTCCGAGCGCCAGGTTGTGGATGCCAGGGTGCAGTGAGAAAGGCCAGTTGTCACGATCAGGATGCTTCTCCACGCGGAGGAGGACAAGGAGGGCATGGAGGAGGAGGAGGAGGAGGAGGAGGAGGAGGAGGAGGAGGAGGAGGAGATGAGGAGGAATGAGGAGGAGGAGGAGGAGGAGGAGGAGGAGGAGGAGGAGGACAGGAGGAGGTAAGGAAGAGGGAGAAGGAGGAGGAGGAGGGAGGGGAGGATGAGGAGGAGAGAGAAGAGGAGGAGGACGAGGAGGGTCAGGCGGGGTACGAGTGCAGAGAGAAGGAAGGGAGGAGGAGGAGGAGGAGGAGGAGGAGGAGGAGGAGGAGGAGGAGGAGGAGGAGGAGGAGGAGGGAGGAGGAGGAGGAGGAAGGAGGAGGCGGAGGAGGAGGAAGAGGGGCCCCCTCCTCCTTCGCTGGCGGCAGGGCGCCTCCAGGCTCCCGTCCAGGCCCAGGCCCTCGCGGCGCGCGGTCCGCAGGTGCCCCAGTGCCTCCGCCAGCAGCGAGGCGCTGGCGTCCTGCGCGCGCGCGGGCCGCCGCCGCCGCCGCTCATAGCCGCAGCTCGTCGTCGCCGCCCGCCGCCGCCGCTGGCCGCCATCGCTCGTCGCCGTTGCTCGTCGCCGTCGCAGGCGCCGCCGAAGTTCGAGGCGAACATTTTCAGCGCCCTCGGGTGCCTTTGGAGTCCCCGGGGAGCATCCAGCATCTTCGAAGACTCCAGGGGGTATCCAGAGACCTCTGGGAGCCGTCGGGAGATCTCGGGAGACCGCCGCCGTCGCTCGTCGCTCGTCGCTCGTCGCTCGTCGTCGTCGTGGTCGTAGTCGTGGTCGTGGTCGTCGTTCGTGCTCGTCGTCGTGGTCGTGTTCGTCTTTATTCCTCGTCGTCGTCGTCGTCGCCGTCGTAGTCGTCGTCGTAGTCGTAGTCGTCGTCGTCGTCGGCATCGGCGTCGGCGTCGGCGTCGGCGTCGGCGTCGGCGTCGGCGTCGGCGTCGTCGTCGTCGTCGTCGTCGGCGGCGGCGGCGGCGGCGGCGGCGGCGGCGGCGTCGTCGTCGTCGTCGTCGTCGTCGTCGTCGTCGTCGTCGTCCGTCCCCGCGCGTAAGCCACGGCGAGCAAAACGGCAGGGCCAAGGTCAGTGAAAGGCCATCAGCAGCCTCTCGGTGGTTCCCGCCCCGTCTTGCGCACCACCTCCCAATGTGGGGCGGCCTCCGGGACACCGCGACCTCGGGCCCCCTTTGGAGCTTCCTGTGGCCGTGTCGGAAACGACCCCGGGCCAACCAGCCGAGCGCGCGAAAGGCGGTCCATTAGGCAGTAGGTTTGTCATGGGGGGCAAACAAGGCCGACACCACTACTCCTCGGGCCCCCGCCCTGGGTGCGTTGCGACCAAGATTCCGCCGCGAATCCAGCCGTGGCGACGGAGGCACTCCGCGAAGGGGTGGTAGCGGTCTCGGTATTTTTCCCTTCTCTGGGTTTGAAGGGACACGGCTCGACAGAGGAATCCCGACCTGTGCAAACACAAGCCGTCGGAGAGCTCCGCGCGGTCTTCATCGGATCGGCCCTAGACCCCTCTCCTCGGAGCGCGGGGAGCGCGCCAGGGGCGGCGCTGGAGGCGCCGCCAGGCGGGCGAGCGCAGATCCAAGAAATCCGCGCGAAGCGTCCAAGAGGGGGGTCGCAGCTCACGGCCTGAACCACGTGCGCGGCCCAGGGGGGCCGAGGGACGTAGTGAAATCGGGACCATGGCCCTGACATCTGGGAAGGTGTCGTGGCCCCAGCCATGATACCCGTCGGTCGGACAAAAAGTGGGTAGAAACATGAAACAGGAAGGCGTTGGAAATAGATTGGCCTTCCGCCCGCCGCCCCGAAGAGCACGGAACAGGAACACACACAGACACACTCAATGATGGAAGTGGGAAGGCGCCGAAGGACTAGATTGGAATCTGGGAGCCCAGAAACGGCCACTGTCAACGACCAGCGGGCACTCCCCCCCCCAATCACCACCCCTTGAGTAGGGACCGACCGTCCCGGAATGTTCTCAGAACCCGAAAATGTTCCAAGAAGGTTCTTAGAACATCAACCCGATGTGTTAAAACAACACAATCCCAACCAGAAATGTTCTAAGAACATCTCGTGGAAACCACAAAAGGTTCCTAGAACATTGTTTGGTAGGGCTATAGGCGAGCCAAGACGCTTCGCCACTGCTCGAGGACCCCCCTCTTCGCCGCGCCGGGGCCTGTGCTGCCTGCCCGGCGCGTCTCGCACGCCTCGGGCCGCCCGCGCCGCCCGCGCCAGGACGGCCCCTGTGGCAGGGCGCCCCACTCTGCGCCCGGGACGGCGCGGCGCCGGGGGAGCGGGCCGCACGGGGCTCTGCTCCTGCTGCGCCTCGGCGCCCCGCGGAGGCGCTTCCGGGCAGGGGCAGCAGACGCGACGCACCCTGCCGTCGCTCGGACGTCCATCTCCCGTGCATTTTTCGGTTCGTGCGTGTTTTTTGTGGCCCGATGGTCCAGAATGGTCCTCGATGGCTCTCGCCGAATAAAAAGCACACGTCCGAGCGATGCCAAGGCACCGCAGCGCTTCGTGCCCGGCGTGCTGGGGCGGGGTGGCAAGCCGCGCAGTGGCTCCCCGCGGGGCGCCAGGGCGCGAGTGGGCCCAGCGCGACCCCGATCGGGAGCTCGAGCTCCGAGGAGGGGCGCCTCGGCAACCCGCGCGCAGGCCGAATGCAGGATGAAACAGTGGCTCTCGAGCACGCTACAGAAGGTACGCTGAAAAGTAAGCTGCGGAAAACGAAGCATTGGAGAAGAGCGGCGAAAAGCTAGCGAGCGGGTGCGCAACCAACTGGCCGAATTAGCTACACGATATACCTGTGTACGATTGCAACTGGGAGGCATACACACCTAAAGGCAAGCTGAACCAACATTATAGACACACATACATCTATTATATCATTTCTTTAAACACACATCCATACACATACACATGTACTTTTATATACACATGTACATATTCATACAAGCACACACACACATATATATATGTAGATAGATATAGCGCTTCGCGCAACGCACCTTGGTTCTTCAAGCTTTCTTGTGCTGGCACTTGGCCTCTGAAAATTTGCCGTTTCCCTTCAAGTCTCCATACCCGGTCCTTGTTTGCTCTCGCCCTCGATTTACATGTTCGTGTGCCACCCGGATCTCTCGTGGGGTGCGTTTGGATTCGAATTTCGAGGCGGACCCGATGACGTGGCGACGAGAACGCCACCTGGAGGCTCCGAGAATGCAGGGATTCGCCACACTCCGGGCAAGCGCATACAGACATGAAGGATGTGGCGCATGCGGGAGTTTAAAACATTTAAGCCAACGGCTATGGATGCATGGGTGTGCGTTCACACTTGAAGCAACTGTTCCTATGAATGACGTGGAAAGCGCTCGTGTGGCCCACTCTCTGGCCCGCTCGTGTCTGAGGCTGTCCGCGGGCGAGTCATGCGAATGAGCGCCAAACGGAGCAACGCACTGCCAAGCGATGCCGCAGAATACGAAGCAATGCAATGTCAAGTAATGCCGCCGTGGCTTTGGAAATGCACCGAAACCCGGTTTCGCCACGGAAATCTGGATAATTTTGTTGCAAACCCAGGGTTCGGGAGAGTGAGGTGTACTTCGTCAGAAGACGCCTTCTGGAAGACGCACGACCATGCAAAGGAACGACATTCGGGCTCCTCCGCGTGGCCACCACACGGGCTCGCTCGTGGCCCGAGCTGCCCGGTCGCACAATGCAAGGCAAAGGGAAGCATCGCCGTATCGTTCCACATTGTTCCTCTCATTCATCCTCGGTCTCGCCTGGCGTTGCGAACCATTCCCCGTCTGCCGCAGGTCGTCTTGCGAAGGCTCCTCCTTGGAGAACCTCTTGGGGGCCTCGCGAATGCCTTTCAAGGGCTTTGGGGACCTCTGGAAGCCTTCTGGACGCCTCTCTGGGCCGTCTTGGGGGTCCTTGTGAAGCCCGTTTGGGCCGGGCCGTGCTGGGGCCTTCTTGGGGAATTTGGGCTCTCTACGGGCCTTCTTGGTGTCATCTTGGACCCTCCCGGGGACCTCCCATGGTCCTCGTTGGCCTCTCTTGGGAGCCTCTGGGGGCCTCGTGGACTTCTTTTAAGCTGTCTTGGGGCAGTCTTGGGGCCCTCTTAGGCTGTCTTGAAGACCTCTTGGGGGCCTCTTGGGCCGTCTTGGGGCGATCTCGGAAGCCTCTTGGGCCGTCGTGAGCGCTGCTATGGCACAACAAAAACGAATATGATGAAGATCAACGCTTTCCCGAGGGAATGGGCAGATGTTTGCCTCTTGGGGGCTCTCCTGAAGACCTCTTGAAGCGTCTTGGGGCCTCTGGAGCCGTCTCGGATGCCTCTTGGGCTGTCTCGAGGCCGTCTTGCGCTGTCTTTGAGCTGTCCTGCGCCTCGTCGACCTCTTCTCTGATTGCTTTAGGTCTGCTGGGCAAGGCCCGGCACGGCGCCCTGGGAGGCGCGGCAGGGCTGAAGGACCTCTCCCAGAGGCGCCCAGGGGGCCCCAGAGGCCGGGATCCCGGGGGTCCTGTTTTGCTTTGGGGGGGAGGGCCTTTCCCGCCCCCCAGCTTGTAAAACGATTGGGGGAAGAACAGAAATGTGCAGCACACGGAATACAACTACAGTGCGACCAAACGTAGACTGTGCACGGGCGAGCAACAAGCTGCAAGCTCGCCTCGGGAAACGGCGCACGCACAGACACACACACAGACACACAGACACACAGACACACAGACACACAGGCACACAAGCACACAGGCACACACGCACACCGACACACCGACACACCGACACACACGCACAGACGTACACACGCACACACGCACACACGCACACGCGCACACAAGCACACACGCACACACGCACGCACGCACATACGCACACACACACACACGCACACGCACGCGCACGCGCACACGCACACGCACGCGCACACACCCACGCACAGCCACGCACAGCCACGCACACAAACGCACACCCAAGCACACCCAAATACACCCACGCACACACACACGCACGCACGCACACGCACACACACACACACGCACACATACGCACACACACACACACGCATTCACGCACTCACAAACACAGAAACACACACAGAAACACACACACAAACACAGACGCACGCACAAAGAAACACACAAACACATAGAAACACACCCAGACACACAGACACACAAGCACACAAGCACTCCGACACACAATCACACAGACACACCGACACACCGACACACCGACACACACACAGACACGCAGACACACAGACACACAGACACACAGACACACAGACAGAGACACAGAGACACACCGACACACAGACACACACAGACACACACACACACAGACACAGAAACACACAGACACACGGACACACAGACACACGGACACGCAGACACACAGACACACGGACACACGGACACACGGACACACGGACACACAGACACACCGACACACGGCACGGACACACAGACACACGGAC